CGGGCCCTGGAGGCTTTTAGGAGGGAATTGTGTGACCACCTGGCACTCAACAACTACAACAACTATTCTCTCCTATTTTCTTCTGCTTCAATCATGTGTGAAAGCAGTTAAACAGATGATGTGATGTTTTTGTGCTGCGACACCAATCTGCATGTATCTATTCAGAGGCACATTTGAGATATTCTGTATTATTTAATTATAATATATGTTCCCAGAAAACGTTCTCCCTCCAAGAGGGAGGAGTAGGAGTTCAACATCAAACTTGTAGGAGTTCAGCATCAAACTTCAATTAAAAGGCAATGCATCAGGTATTTAGGTGCAAAAGGATCTTCCTCACTCTGCCTCCACAAGCATGTAGTAAAGTTCCCAACCTCCCACTTTAAAACTTCCACAGCTTTGCAAACATTTTGCACAGAGCCCCAGGTATTTCCTGGAACTTTACTTACATGAGTTTGGCTTTCTATGACCATTTAAATAGGAATAGTGTGCTTAAGATGTGTTGCTTCAAATCCTGACCAATATTTCTGCCCACATGGAATAAGAGTTCCAGGTGCCTGATCTTAACCATGTACCCAAGTGTCAGATTGAAGCTCCAGTATTCAAATTCTATCCATGCATATGAGCCCATTAAGATATATATTTTAGGTTATAACAAGCACTCCCCTGCCTGGGTAGGAAAGTTGAGATGCCTTTCCACTGAACCTGTTGCCTCATGCCAAGGAATGGGAACCAAGTCATTTTTCAACATCTTCTGAAGCATGCTCTTAACACAGTGAGTTGATTTATGTGAATTGAAAGAAAATTGAAGATGTTTGTAAAACTCAAAAATGCATTAAAAACGTCTTCATTTTGAAAAGCCACAACACTGTTTCAGCAAGGACACACTGAATAGGTGGAAAATCCACAGTTATCTCCCTATTACCCAGAAGCCCAGACAGTTTTCCCTGCAAGAAATTGCTAAGCATAAAATCTTACCTTGCTTGAACGTGTTCTTTTGCAAGCTACAACTACCATGTGCAATCCCAATTACCCAAACCCTGCAATATTCAGCATGAAGAGGTAACAGTCACATCCAAACCCTGTGTCACAGCCCTGAAGAGGCTTTGGCAGACCACAGAGGACTGAATGAGGCTGGCTCTGCACAGGGTGTGGGGAGAGGGAAGAAGGGGAGATAACGAAGTGGGTGTGATAACTCCAGGATCAGAATGAGCAAGAGAGGAGCAGCACCACTTTTGGTAGCATGGAACAGGCACAGGAAGAGGCCATCTGTGCAGTCAACTGGCATGGAATCAGTGGGAAGGGTGGATGTGATAAATCACAGCTCTCACATGGCATCAGCTCAGAATCAACAGGAAATATTTGGATGTGGGCACGACCAGGGCCATGATCCATGTGCACACAAGCTGTAGGAGGAGGAATGGTCTCCTCTGATCTTTTCACAGGCTTTATTTGGTTTGAACAAAGTAAATCTTGTTGGAGGTCACAGCTTTGCCAGACAATTGAAAACTTGCTTTTAAGCATTAATAAGCACACTAAGATATTTCATATCATATGAGTAAGCAATGATTTTGATATGGTTGAATAGAAAAGCTCTTTGTTAAAATCCACAGAACATAAAGTACCCAAATGCAGACAGACAAAACCTTGATCTTGAAGCAGCCCAGGCTCTGAACAGGCAATCTATCACATAAGAGACACCAGAGGTCAGCCATTAATTAACATCCAAATTAGAGCTTTTCAAGTAAGGGTCAAAACTTCCTTTGTTTTGACATTTAAAGCACTGGCAATGCCTTCCCCAGTTTAGCATGCACAATGCATCACCTCGTGCTTTATGTTAATTGCCTCCATTATTCAAGTGCACTATTTGATTCATTGTCAATTAAAAATACCCCCAAAAGCCAAGCCCGATGTGTGTTAAGTATAAATGTGATTAATGTAACACAATTACATTCCCACGTTTGCCGAGTCTGATTAGGAGCTTTCCCTGAGCCCAGCGTGACAGAGCCCTGTCACTGCCCGTGACCTGCCAGCCTTGGCAGGGACAGGCATTTCCTGGCCACAAGTGCTCCTGACAGGTGTAAAACCTGCAATTAAATGCTGTCAATTAGCACTTCATCAAGAATGTGGAAATCTTGATGATCTTCACTATTGGATTGCAAAGATGGTCCTAGGTGTAAAGTTTTTTAAAAAAAGCTATAAGGAAGGAAAAAAACAGTGACACAACTGTCTGTTAGAATAATAATTATGTGGATGTAATTACTATTTCCAGAAAGTGACTCCATGGACCTTTTCCTACTACATCAAAGGAACATCTGGTTCTGCACACAGAGGAAAAAATTAGGCAGACCAAAAGTAAAAGAGCAATGCCTTATTTTGTTTATGGTTATAGAAAACACAAGTTATAAGGAGATCTGAAGGGGTCTGAGGGGAAAAAAATAATGACCAAACAGGGACAAGAAATGGTCAAAGTCTGGGGTTACTACTAAATGAGATGCAAGGGCAAATAAATAAATAAGAATTTAAAAGCCAGTTCAGCCAGAGCACAATGTCAGAAAAACTAATAGTAACTGAATACCAGTGAAACTAATAGGAAGGACAATATGCACACACAGCTGGACTTGTTATGGCCAGCTTATAAGCAGGCTTTAATAAAAATTGCTACAAATCCCAACAAGAAATAAGAGAAAATTCTGTACCCTCAGTATGGTCTACTCTTCATTCTTCCCATCAGTAAATGTAAAATATAATTAACACTGCCATAGGTAGAAGTAATAAATACAGAAGAACCAGCTTCAACCTATATTTAATTACAAGGGAAATGCTAGCAACGAAAGGTACAGTAGGTTCTTGTTTAAATTGAAAAAGAAAAAAAAGAAAAAGACTGTATTATTGCACTTCAGAAAAGAATTAAGGAGCTCCTTGGCTTATTGAGGACTACAAAAACAATCACTGCTATAGGCCTGGTTTACATATTTGCTCTATTAATTTACACAGCCCTGGTAAGCCTCACATTGCAATGCAACTGCTAAATTACACTGCTCTTGATAATGGGCATAAAAAGATGCAAGAGCATGCAAAGTGTATTCAAACAGACAATTAAAATTATCAATTCTGTTGACAGCTAAAATGAAGGAACTGTGCTGAGGTTTAATGGTGCTGCATGAAGGACACCCTGTTTGTGGGTGATTGAATTAACCAGGATCACGCATCCCCAGTCTGCCTCCGTCCAACACTGCACATTAGGCCAATTTACTGTCTGCTTATTAAAATAATTTAATTCCACAGATTGTTCCCAGGCATTTCTGAGTCTCTTCCTGCTCCTCCCTCCTCCTTTCACTAATGATGGCATCTTAATTATTGTGCTCATTTTACGTCACCGCACATGGCTGGGTCACCACAGAGCAGTCCAGTCAGTTTGGCTGAACCAAACATCCTCGGGGTGATCCTCTCCAAATCTGCAGGAGATCTGGCCAGACACACTACAGCCTCAAAGTTCTGAAGCAGAAAAAGCATTCAACTAAGTTTTTTTGTATTCAATTTAGCACTAGTTTATCCATATTGTTTCTTTTAATAGGTCTTCAAATCTGCTTGCTTATTAAATCTATTATATTCTGAGAATTTCAACTTCTAGCCATGTAGGAATAATGTGTTTGACAAGTCCAAAATAAGAACTCCAGAGAAAATGAAATTTCATAAAGAAATAAGAAACTTGAAGCCTCTTTTCCAAGCTGAACAACAATCTCACATCTCTGACTAGTATTACTACTCGTGATCTAAAGTTCCTGTGAAAAAGCAGCTCAGACTGAGCAACATATCAAAATGCTGAGACTAAAAATGTTATCCTAGAGGTTTATTTTAGTACCTCCAAAGGCTGAATGACTTCAGTTTAAGAGATTGATTTCAATAGACTTTGGCAACTAATTCTGACATTTCGTTTTGAGAAGTTAATGCTATTTTAAAGTGAATATGCACAGATTACACCTTCATCTGAAGTGAAAATCCATCAGTGTGTGGCAGTGATATCTGGATGGAACTGAGTTGGGAAATGTGTGCATTTGGTGAGTAATACTGGTTTGCATTTCTTGGTTCCATCAAGCTATGGGATGCATCCCACTGTAGGATTCAGATATTGCACATAGGATATTGCCCATTGCTGGACACCCAGAAAAACTCCTGGTTCAGCACCAGCAGCCAAGCACAACAAAGAAATCATTAGTATTAAATATCACATGTAAAAATGCAGGTGTGTTGGGAAGTTATGAAAATGGCAGCACCTAAATCCTTTTTTAAGTCTTTAAAGACATTGGCCACTGGATAAGGCACCACTTTTGTGTGACAGGGCTGAAATCCCAAAGCCCCAGAGTGGAATGAGCAATTTGTAACCCTGAAGTATTGGAATGAACTGACACCAGAACTGAAAAACTGTTAAATCTCCTTCAGTTTAATGCTTTGGGTGTACAGTTCCAGGTTGTGTCTTATAATATGACTGACACCTGCTCTATGGAATTATACTGAATATTCCAATTGTGTGACACTTTGCTATCATTGATGATCCAAAACTTCTTCCAGACTCTGAATTTCATGTCAAGAGTTGGACTTGTATCAGCTATGAGTACTTTCAAAATACTAACTTCTAAATCTCAGTTGCAGAGATAATTTAATAGAGATGTTGATGTGCAAGTCCTGATTTCAGGCTCAGAGGTAAGGCTATAAAAAAATTCAGAGTAAATTTAATTTTTAAGAAATGGCTGATTCTACGTTTTCACAATATTCACATAGCCCTAAATGATTATATATTGTGTTTTGCCATTTCTAATATATGAAACAAAGTCAAGTCTGTAGAGACATGGGATTAATACAGGGGAACTCAGACTGAATCGTGGCAATATCCAAAATCTTAGGTACAAAACAAAAAAAGCTTTCTGATAAATGGCAGGAATGAAATGAGTCCATAAACAATTCTGATTTTTGCACAATAGTAATATATGAAAGCAACATACGGTTCAGAATCAGCCGGTCCTCTCTGAATTCAAATGGCTTTTCTATATAAAAAACCTTCTGCTGGAATCCAGGGACACATTCTAAATCTTCTGCACATGCAAGCAGCAGAACCTGAGGGAAAAAAAAAAACAGAAATAGACTTTTAACATCCACTCCTTCATCCATCATGTTGGCTTCTGGGAACTGTAGCAGGTTTAGGCTCAGTGCTCATAAAACAAAACATTGGGGTCCATACTCATAAAACAAAATATCCATCACATCACACTTCCCCTTCAAATCTTGCTAAACAATTTTATGTAAGGTTTTTGCTTCTATATATATGGGCTGGCATTGAAATTACAAAATAGTAGCTTTCAAGGTGAATTTCAGTTCAGAATATCAATAAAGATTGTTACTGGTCCATAAAAACATAGGATGTAAGATTGCTCCTAAAAATCACATTTATTTAGGCCTAGCTGAATACAGCTGGACCTAAATATAGGCTGAAATTAAGCACATGCAAATAAATTTGAAAAAGTGATAAATTAAGAGCTGCAAATCTGTCTCCAAGTTGATCATCAAGTTGCAGAAGAAATTCTGTATTCATGGGTAAAATCTCACATACAGAAGTTCCATTTCTAGAATAAATTCTTTGCTATCAAGTATGAACTGTTTCTTTTCTTTCTCTCTCAGCCACAGTTTGTCTATTCTCCCTACAATCAAAAGCTTGTTTACACCATGGGAGGACTGAAAAAGAAAAGTGTGCATCATAGAGGAGGTGGATTTGAAGGTTATAGTTGAATACAGTTTGTGTCACTGTCAGTACATGGTCACCCAAGCTCTGTGTCACCACAGGAACATCAAAGGAGGAAGCTTACAAGCAAATAAAATTGCTTGGGAATAGGTACAGTTCTAATCTCGGACTCTGAAGCATTTTATCCCTGAATAGAGAAAACAACCTGAAGGGCTATTTTTCTTGGCAGCTGTTAAATGAGAGCATGGCAGTAAGAATGGTCAAGAAAGAAGCAGCAAGCAAAAAGAAATTACTAAAAAAGTTTAAAAGGCTAAAGAGAGAGGCAAAAAGAGGCAAGGTTAAGAGCAGGAAAAGCCAAATCATATTTTCCGACCCATATGTGTGTAAGTGCATTTTCAGAAGTACTTTCTGCTTTAGAACATCTAAAGGTGTTTTACAAAGCCTGACTTTCAGGTGGTGCACTGACCACTCTGATCTCAAAATTGTTATGGGCAATCTGCTGCTTGTCAGGCAGCCCCAGCACAATCAGCTAGAGAGGGCACGTGTGGCAACCAAGAGCAAAACAAACACAGGGGCTCTGAAAGGCATTTGCTCCTAAATTCAAGTGGCTCTGCACTATGGGTCTATTTACTCAAGACATCCTCAACACAAAATTACAGTTTTGGAAATAAAGTTCTTCAGGGTTAAAGTGAAGACAATTTCTCCCTAATACCACACCAGTGAATGCTGAGGGTTCTTTTCTCCTTCACCTTTTCTCAGCTCAGGTGACAACGGCACTCTCACTTCTCCCAAAGCACCAGCAGCACCTCTCAGTCCCACCTCCACTCCTGTATCATCCCAGCCTGCTGATCCTGATCCTAAAGAGGTGTCCTGCAATATTTGAACAGCTGCATGTTTCCCTCCTCGCCACCACTCACAATCCATTTGCTAAATCACAGTGATACATGATCTGCTCTCTCCCTCCTTGCATTTCCCACTCATTTAAAGTTCAGTGTGATCCCATTTACAAAATCCAAAGGCAGCAATGCCCCACCTGGTCTGCATTAGTTGTTCTTATGGAACCAACTGCTGGATCATTTGTTTCATGTCAGACCATTGCTATAAAAGCTTGGCCAGAAGTGCCAGCAGACTGCAAGGAACAGCCAGAATATTTCATGTTAATTCATCTGGTGGAAGGCAAGCACAACAGATGGACACCTTTGCCTTCCATCCTGTCCTGCTCCACGTTGGCCCCTTGGAAGGATTAACCAAGAAAGAAGAGAAAGATTTAAAGCAATACACCAAGAAAAGTGTAATACACTTGACTTGTATTAGTTTCAGTATCATCACACTATTCCTGCCTTTCTTCAAAAGGTTTAAAACCACAGCCCCCAATCCCTCATTCTCTTAATGACATTGATATATTGATTTTATTGGAGATTTTGGGGTTGAGAATTGGATGTGTCCCCTTCAGCCTTCCAGCAGGAGATATCTGCAAATGTGCACTGAGGTATTCAGAGCCTGCCCTGAAAATTGTGCATAAAGCTTGATTGCTGATTGTTATAAAACCTGCCTTATATGCATTTCAATGGGCATATGTACAGGAAGAAAGGCACACATGCATCTTCTGCAGACATTTGCTGCGTGCACAGGTGCAGGTTTAAAGTACCTGTCTTTCTGACTCAGTGTTCCTGGATGAATATGCATAAAAATGCAATCACAGCAGGAGAAAACCTCTTCCCATCTCAAGATGCAAGCAAAGTTATATAATGAATCCCCACCAGAAAAAAGTCCAAGCCATATATCCTGAAATTTATCTACAAACAGCTCTTCTCCTAAAGGATTAACACAGCAAGTAAAAGGCAAATCATGTTCTGATCTCCCAGCTACTCAAGCCTTAAAGCTGGAACTCTTGTCTTACAGAGCTATAAATAAAAAGCCTCTTTGGACATCATCTATAGCAGTACTTAGAGATGGGAATATGTCAACTTTATCAGATTTGTGACAGTCTAAGTTGACTTTGAAATCTGGGCAATCTAAATGGGTCATGAGTTAACTTCTGTAAGCCTGGTACAGAAGGCTCACATAATAGAGATGCAGCAAATAGAAAATGACCTTTACTCCCTTTGAAATAATTACAAGACTAAAGCTTGGCCTTGCTGTGAAATGGAACAATTTATTCCACTTGTGCAATTCCAGGCACTTTCTTCTTCTCTACATGTCAGACAAAATGCTAAATCTGTCATCACATGGACAGTTTTTAATTAATTGTATTTAAAAAAGAAAATTATTCTTTTAATTTATTTTTCTGTGAAGAATCTTCTGTTGAACTAAATGTCTATCTCATTAAAATAATTTCTGTAAAGGTTCTTCACACTGGGGACAGCAGTCTTTTAAAATATCTTGAAAAATTAAGTCAGGCAGATATATGTTTAAGGCAAAGAGGCTTGTTCAAAACAAAATACATTCTGAATTTAAACACCATGTAAATTTCACATTTTTGGATATAATAAAAGGTTTTATGGACTGATAGGTGCCTATATAAAGACTTCAGCTAAATTCACTATAAATAATATTTAAATGTCATACATAGAACTGAATCAACAAATATTGTTCACCCAGCTAGTCAAGTGCTGGGTAATTAGTACAATTTGCTCATGAAAATCTAAAAGAGTAGAAGTCTGAAAAGCAAAGCAGAGTTGTGACTCCTCAGACCTACAGATCCTATGTTCATCAACAAGCAAAATCAAAGTTTTTCATAACCTCCCACTTTTCAGAAATGTACAGAGCACAGGCTCAGTTTTAATATTATGACAATTTTTCTCTCAGAATTTATTGCCAGTTGGTGTAAGGAAATGTCATAGTTCAGATAACTCTGGTGCTAGTTGGGCCACTCTGCTGGAACTGTACTCCTGGTGAGATATCAAGCCTAAGAAACACCTTTTTTTTAGTTAATAAGCCAGCACGCACATGCTGGTGACCTTTACTGACCTCAGCATTTGCACTGAAAGCTGCTCACACAGAATATGGCTGGAAAGCAAAAAGGAGAGCAATTTAATGCTGTACTGCAGAGGAAATGAATAAACTCCCTGATGCTAAAGCACCTTTGGGTATCACGACACCTCAAAATAACAGGGTCCTTCCACCTCCTCTTCTGGTGACTGAAAGTCATCTCAGAAAGGTCTTTCTAAAGAATTTCAGATTCTTTATGTTCCTTTCAACTTGCACGGTTCCAGTTTGGCCACATGCTCGCTCTGCAAATGAATTTTCTCACCTTTTGCTGTGTATACCCTCATATCTTCATTAGCCCTACCTTGAGGAGATCACCTAGCACAGAAACACAAGCTGCAGAATATTAATTGCATTTCACACAAATTCTTATGGTGTGAAATTCACCCTCGTGTAAGGCTTTACTTAATTGGAAACGTAAATGGTGCAGACACCTGTGAAAGCCACCTGCCCAGACAGGGATTCTGCACACAGTAAAGGTAAACAAATCTCTTTTCAGAGGAAAATATTCTGTAGGACCACATTCTACCTTTGGCTTCAGGAGAGTAATCTGAAATAAAAACAAATCAACATAGAGCATAAGAAGGAGGAGCTAAAATTGCAGTCATGCTCGTTTTTACTAAGAGCAATCATTTCAAGAGTTCAAAAATTTTGAGTCACTTCCTGAGAAATGAGTTTTTGGTTCTGGTTGTTTTGTTTGGCATTTCTGGTAGGGTTGGGGGTTTTTTATCTTTTGAAGTATGGTTTGGGGGCTTCTTTTTTATTTGACTCATTTACTTGGAAGTGGGTATTGAAAATTTATGCTTCTGAGCTTTTCTGTGGAAACATGAGAAACAGAAATTTGCTTTTTGCATATGAAAACTTCAGATTTTCATAAGAAATATGGTGATCCTTAGAGCTGAGAACGAAGAGAAAAAAGTAATCAGAATAATGAGAACTGCCAACACTGAATTAAATTGCTCATGACAAAATATTTTTATCATGCAGATTGAGATTTTTGAATCTTAAAACCTTTTCCATGTTCAGGTGCTGCAGCACCAGACCCACGAAAATGGATAATGAGGAGGCCATCAGAGAAGGAAACAAGTGATAAACAGCACACAGTCATAGGGAGATGATGAAATTTGAAGTCTTCTGTGAGATTTAAATGAAGGAGTTAGTCAAATGAAATTAACAGAGGGATACTTAAAATAAAGAGAGTGCAGCTCTAAGTAAGGTTCTGATTCTGCATTACACAGACTCCAATTAGAGTGTCAGCAGGTCCTAGGGCAATTATTTCATCAAATCACACACACAGACTGGACATGAAGTTCTCTGTGTCTTCTGTGTTTTTTAATAACAACTAGAACAAAAAAAAACCAACCCTGAATAAATTATCCTCTGATTGGCA